AGTGAGGTGGAAATGATGGGATGAGTGTAGAAATGTAGTGTGTGCGTGGTGCGCGCCAGCTCTCACCGTGTGCGCTGAGAGGGTGAGAGAAGTGCGCAATTGCTCACGAGTGCATCTTCGGTGGAACATTGGTTCCCGAGTGTCTTAATAATGTGTGCGATACGCTTGTCTCATACCATTCCGGAACACTTTACATCCTAAAGTTACCCTGTTTTTGGGGGGTGGTCCTGTCTAATGTAAATAACCCCCTGCTCACCCCGCCTCATCTCCCACCGAGCCAATGCAAAGTACAGCTTTCATTATCATGCCAACCGGGATCAAAGGTAGGTGTATATGAGCGTCGGCAGAGACAAGAATGAATGATAATTGTATTTTCACTCGTGAAGTCAGCACTTCGTGATCAAGTTGCCAATTACAGTTGTCAATTAGTGTGACACATTCAGCAGTCTTATTCTGTTGGCATTTTGTTTCAGGAGGTATTCTGCGGCAAGGTTAAATTTGGTCTGCTTTTGCGGCAAGCATTGAATCAAAAAACTTGCTTTGGCACCGCACGACTTAAGTGAACTATTTAGCTTCATGCACATTTAAGTCCTCACCTTTGTAATTTGCTGTGGACCACAGTGTGATTTGAATGACGTCAAGGTCATACTTACACTCTCTGTTATAAAACATTTTGAGGTTCCCTTAGTTTATGATTCACTTTGTCCCTCAGAAAGGATTATTTATGGTGTTAATGGAAGCTTTTCTTTACTGCTGCTATGGATACATGAACATCGGATTCAGAGCTAAGGTTGCTTGTGTGCCCCCCCTTACTTTTGTGTCATAACAGACCTTACTGATACATGTGTGAAGCGTCTTTTTTTTTTTTAAATTCAAACAGATGACCATGATGAGTAAGATAAGGCTGAGAGGTGTGTGTTTGTGCGTGTTTATTACAGTATGTGGGAGTAGTGAGCTAATGCTGGATCTGAAATGCAGATGTCTCTAGGTTACTGGGGAATGTAAATGCAAACACGCCTGGGAAGGGTGAGTGCTGAAGAGATCTTGTACTATGCCAATTACGCATGACCTTGTGAAGCAGACAGTGACATATCGTAGCATGCGAACATGTACGGTTGTGTTTCAGAATAACAGTGGTGTTATCAGTTAGTTGTTACTCTGCCGAAAGAAAAGAAAGCGGAATATATGGCTGTTCAAATAAACAGCATTGGGCTGGGCCTGGATTAGCGTCTTACGCTTGCCTGAAGTTGAAGCACTTCGTAGAAACAGTGGCGAAACGCAAAATTTAAGTGCAGTGATTTGAAGGAAGTTCACTCCTACCATTATAAAAGCAAAATGGATTTGCTTTTGGATGTTTACGGCCAGAGGACACAGCCTGCGCTGGACATAAGCCTCTCTGCTGATACTGACTCAAAATTCGACATACATGGCGGTCGATTTGTTTTTAGAGGGTTAAAATAGGTACTCACACATTGCAAAAACTTGCATGTTGGTTCCACTGAAGGCAAGGCAGGGCGAGGCAGATTCATTTCTACAACGCATTTCATATACAAGCACTTGATTGGTGCAGTAATTAAGATAGTTGTTATGTATACCATCTGAGAAGTCAATTACATCTTCAAAGACTTTATTAACTGGAAAATAACGTTGCTCAATGACAAAAAAGATCCTTTGTGCAGCCACAATAAGCGCGCGACCTCTGCGTGTTCTTCGGCTTCCTCAATGAATGAGTGCATGCTGATTGAGACTTGGGGTGGGGAGTACATGCAGGAGAAAATGTTTACGGTGTTTATTTAACAATTTTCACTTTCTCACTTATTATTGTGCTGTGTAATTATTCGAACTAGGTGATTTAATTATTGAAATAAAGCAGGGCCCGAGGTTGCCCTGGCAATGACTGAGACATTGCCACCCAATCGTATTAACTTGACATCACTGAGAAGCGACAGAGATACAAGTGAGCCAAGGTTAATGATTCTTTCTGTGGTTTAAGGAGGATTGGGAAATGATTGCAGTAGCACAGACAGCAAATGATATCGTGAGTGCAAGACACATCACTTACCTCATTACAAATTAGCCTTCATGAGACATAAAAATGGAATTTGTTTACATCCCTTAAGATCCAGGTTGTGGGGCCCCAGTAGGGTTTGGTATTTCCATTTTCTATACGGCTTATCCTCTTAAGGGTCGCGGGTGACATCGAGCCAGTATCAGCTGACTTTGGCCGGGAAGTAGGGTACACTCTGGACTGGTTGTCAGCCAGTCGCAGGGCACATAGAGACAACCATTTACATCGACTGAAGCAGCTGAGATTTAAACTCCAAACCTCAGAGGCACCACAAGATCACCATACTGCCACAGACAAAACATTTTTTTAAATGATACACAATGGGTGCAATTTGGGGACATTCTCACAGCCCATTCAGTTATAATACGAATATATCACTTAAAACACTCAATGTCTCATTCATTCCGGTGTACACGTGAATGGCTTGATTCGCATCAATGAATGCTAAATGGAGCAGTATATACCGTATGTTTTCTAAAGCTGGTTGACAGATTCAGTGCCACCTGGGAAACATTTTGAATGTGACCGTGTGCCCCTTTTGGGAACTATAAGCAGATCATAACTGGCAAAAAGTGTTGGTTTGATGTCAAGGCGGAAATGGAAAACTACTTGCCTCCATTTAAACAGACCTCTGGTGGTTGCACCTAAGTACAGTACGTTTAGATTTAACGTTTCTACATGGCAGGACCCCTCTTCTCGTGTGCAAATATACCACCTTGATCTTCACAAGAATGACTGAATGGAATGACAGGAGAGGAAAAAAAATGCATTGATGTCTCCCTTTGTATAATTCATTATATTCACACCACAGGAAGTGTCCTCGGCGTTCCTTTCATAGACAGGGCGTATTGATTCCTTCATTATTTTCACTCCAGAGAATACATTAAGGGAGGGATTTTACGTTATTGAAAACAACTTGTTGCTGTCTGTTGTACGTTTTCATCCCATCTGCCTCCACTGAGGACAGAGTAGTTGTCCTCATGTCACATATCGTAACAGTTCCAACTTGGTAATGACCGCTGGATAAATCTATTGGACGCAGTGCGACATCGCATGTGTCTTTTATTTAATCTGACCATTCCTGCTCAGTCAAAATGTGCTCACACATCAGCAAGGCATTGCAGCTGGTATAGTATGTTTTAAATTCTAATCTGATGAAAATAATACTCCTAATCCTGTGGAGATTATCGCCAAACCTGATGTTCTTTAAACTTTCCTTCATTAAATTTGGGGACCTTATAGAGTCACACACCCTTGTGGGTCTTTCTCTTTGAGCTTGAATGTGCTGCCAACTGTGTGTGTGTGTGTGTGTGTGTGTGTGTGTGTGTGTGTGTGTGTGTGTGTGTGTGTGTGTGTGTGTGTGTGTGTGTGTGTGTGTGTGTTTTGGACATGCTGGTTGTATTTTTGAAGCTAGCTAACACTTTGTCGACAGCACAGAATAGGCACCGTAAATTTTCTTTAGCTGACACAAATCCAAAAAATGATTTGCAGCCCTAAAACACGAATCTCTCCCCTTCCTCCATTGTTATTTTTAATGTGGTCAAAATATGACATAGTACATATGTGATATTACTCTCCCAGGCGTAAGGCAAATTGTAGAGTCCCAGAATGCTTCAGTTCAAGCTGTAAACACTGTAGCTCCTCATTGGCATGAGTTCCATAATGTACAGTTGTTAGATTTATTTAGGAATGGGGTCTCCTCCAGTATTTTATTATTTGTTAATTATTAGTTTTGTTCCACGTACACACGATAGGTAAAAGAATGTTTGAAAAATACGCGATTCCTATTCGAGTGTTGTCAAATGTCTCTTACTGGTCCACCCAAGCGACAGTAAAGAACTGTAAAAACGTATACTGGAGTGAATGAATGGTAAGCGACAGTAAGTTTTTTTGGTCGCTGCATCGTTCATTGCTATACAGTAATGAATTGTGATCTTTCAAAGTCACTGTAGTCAGATTACTTCACTGAGAAAAGTCTTGAGTTAGATGAATCATTACTGATATTTGAGTCACACGTTACTTTTGAACAAGCTCCCGGCATCATCGACCTATGAACAATACCTGAGCACATAGCCCAATTTTTAGGGGTCCCAAAGTACCTTTGAAAAGAATAGCACCCCCAATCAATCAATCAATAAATAAATAAATAAATAAATAAATAAATAAATATCACTATCTGAGGAGAAGAAGAAGAGGATGTGACTGCCTGTGTAGAAAAAAGAAATGGTATAAAATGTACTCACTGAAGAGGGGTTTATTCCAGAAACATTCATATTGTCACTGTTTATGTTGAGGAACTGCTGTATCAAAAGACGTCCTCCACAAGATATTATTAGGATTTCCATCTATTGATATTTTATCATTACAATCCTTTTCTCCTGTGCTGTGGCTCATCATTTAAAGTACCATTACCCTTTATCAGATTTGGTTTACTCACAAACTTTCTGTGCACGTTTTGTTGTTTTCTGGAGTGGTCAGGGCAGGTCGATGCACCGCTTCTAACAAATCCCCCACACCCTCACCTTAACATACAGCCCCCTGTCTTGCCAGTCTTTGTAGCACCCATATACCTCTCTGTAGCACCCTTAAACCTCTGATCCTAGAATCGCCCCTGGTTGAGAGATTTAAAGATAGAAAACGACTGTTCAGTTGTTATGTTGGTGTAGCAGAGGCATATTTAGACTATTCGACGTCTCCTTTCTCATAGGCTGTAGCCTATCCTTTCAAAATTATACTCAAAAACGAAGCATTGTTCTCAGTTGAAATCTTGAGACATAGGCTATGATAAATGTTGGACAGAGTGCGTGATTACCCCATCTCTTACCCCATGCCCTCTTTTCTGTGCGCGAGTGTTGTCAGAAACTCCCCAAGCATATTTACGGACTATGGTTCTCTCTCATTGGTGCACTGGGGAACTGCGTTGATGCGCATGCAGTGACACTGTCGTGATCACGGTGATAAAAAGAGAGGCAACGAAGAGAAAACAAGCACCAGAGTCAAGAGGGAGGAGAGCAAGCAGACATTTGATGGTGGAAGCACCTCTGCACATTTGATCAACTCTTGAGGTACACCACAAACTTTCGTGATTGTCTTCATTGTATTTTAACAACATATTATGTACTCACTTTTGCAGTTGTATTCTGGACCTTTTCTCAGAAATAAGAGTTACATACTTTTTCCAATCATCTTGAGGTTGACCCTCTCAGCAACATATTTATAATTCAACCACTTCTGGTCCTTATGTGCATTCTCAGGAATCTGCTGAAGGATGGAGTGGTATGTCCTGGTGCTGATGCTGAGCTTGCCCCACTCTATGCACGCACATTGTTCTTCACAGTGTCACAAGTGCTTGCAGCATATCCTCAAACCCAACAGCGCCGACAGTAGCTTGGTAAGAAGATGGGTTAATATACACTACAAGTTCTCATGAAATGTAATTTTTTTTAGGTTGGTTGAGGTATAGTTTGTTTTACATACTATGGGTGAATTTGAATTTCCTTCAAGGGATGAATAGTATACAGGTATCTTTAAAAAAATTATAAATGTGCAATTGTGTCATTTTGCAAAGGATGTGAGTCTATAGTGTGCACTTGCATTTATTAAATTGAGTCATTTCATGGATTTTTTTGGATTATCGAATACTATATCACTTCATATCAAGCTCTTTTACTGCTGTCATGAAGGTTTTCAACACTATTGGAGACAAAAAATGAATGAAGGAATGCTTGAAAAGATAACATCTGATCTTATACTATATCAAACTCATCTTTATTATGGTTTCATCGCATTTTCATTTAATGTACCCTGATGGAAATGATGGTCTGTGTAATGCATTTATACATCTTTACGAATGAAGTTGTTTTAATGCATACATTGTTCTCTCATTACACACAGCTCTGGGGGGGAAATAAATTAATTGGAAAATGATCATTTTCGCAGATTTTTCCAGGGACTGTTCAAGAAAAATGAACATTTAAATTTTATTATTAAAAATACTGACAACCCCCAAATTCCAAATGTCATTTCGAGCACATATTTGGATACAAATAAAAACATGTTAAAAATAAAAAGATTTGGATGTGTTTTTTGGAAGAGAGTTGTATTTTATTTCTGATAGGAACGTGACACTTGTCCGTGGTTGTTTTGCAGTGGTGCGGGGTGTTGTGTGAGGATGAACCGGCGCTGTGTGAGCGGCTGGAGGACGTGATCTACGAAGGTGAGAAGGCGCAAGGGGATGAAGCGGAGGAAAGGGGCAGCAAACAAGCCGACGCGCAGTTAATGAAGAGGCTGGACCAGAGCACCAAGGAGCTACTCTCCTCCCCATGGCGGGACAAGTACGTCGCAGCCAAAGTGGCGGACTTGTTTAAGAAAAAGACCGGGGAGAGAGTAGCGGACGAGGTGGCAGAAGAAGCGGAGGACAGCTCGGAGGGAGACGCGCCGCGCGGCCACGATCACGTGAAACGTTACGGCGGCTTTTTACGCAAGTTCGGCACCAAGTCCAAGAGAGGCGAGCCCGAGGAGCTTCAGAAGCGCTACGGGGGCTTCATGAGGCGAATCAGACCCAAAGTGAACAACATCAAGTGGGACAAGCGCTACGGTGGCTTCCTGCGTCGTCACTTCAAGATCTCGGTGCGCTCCGCCGAGGAGCCTTTCTCTTCCGACTACGACGACCGCAGTCGAGAAACGAGATGAACTGTGTATAGAGCGCACTTTACTTCGACTTCTATTTAACACAAAATCATGCCTGCTGTACTCGCTGCCTTCTCATCTGTGCCGTTAGTCATTTAGTTCGAGGTTGTTGCTTGTTTAATAAAACCACCAATAAAACTAAGACTGCAAATTCTGTCCATAAAGTTAAATAAAATCTTATTTATTCTCCACCAACAATATTGGACGAATGTAAATATTTTCCTTATATTTTATCGAAAGTGCTGATGGTAAAGAATGGCCATTTTATTTGATATGATTCGTCCAGAGTTCTAAAATGGAACCGAAGAGGACTCAACCTAGAAGATAAAACAAATTGGACATGGGCTCGTTTTATCACTCATAAAATAGAGAATACAAAGACATATATTTTCAGTGTACCTGTACATTTTCCCCAGTTAGCATGTCTTTAATGCCATCTTGTGGCCAAGAAAAATGCACAAAGGGATACATTTTCAGGCGCCCCAATTACTTTCACGTGAAGATTGTAACTGTAGTTTTCACTGACTGAAGTCGGCTTGTTTGACTCAGCACCCTGAATTTATTAAAGAGCGGGAGTTTTATGTTTATTTCTATTATGTTCTTTCAGGTAAGGATCTAGTATGAGCCATATCTAGATACAAAACATTGCTATATTTAAATGGACAAAAGATGCAAACACTTCGCTTTTAATTTAAGCTAATTCAAACAAAATGTGTAATGCACATTTCATCTCTATCCTATCAGATTCTAAATGGCCGTTTTGAAGGCTCTTATACCGGTAGGGAAGGTGAAACTCAAACTTCTTTTAGCTATTATTAACATGAATTAATTGAACTCCATTTGATTTTATAAAGTGTAAAGATCTTGCCAGACTGTTTTTTTACACTTTTGACAACCTCTAATTGCTATTTTCTCTGAAAATTAACACAAGTAATGCAAAACCATACCAAGTCATTAAAATGGATAGAATTTTTCATATGCAATATGCACTAAAGCATTTATTTCATAAATTAAAATGTCCAAATCAAATAATTCATGTTCAACACAAAGGTATATTTACAACACATCTTGATGAGCAATTCAGACTATCAAACCAAAAGTAAAGTATTTGAAACATTTTGTTGATCGTCAGTATAAGTAGCATGGCAACATGCTGGTAGACAAGGAACTCAACCAAGAGGAACACAACACGGGAAACACCGGCAGGACATCCATGAGTGTGTTCGTGTTCTTTTCTCTTGGCTGGTGACTGTTTACTACAAGGCAAATATATCTTTGGTTGAGGCACTTTCTGAGTTCCGATTCCCAATGTCGCAAAAAGATAATGGTATCTAACAAAGGATGCTCAAACTTAGCACAGATAAGCACAATCCTTCACAACAATGCCTTGTTATCTGGTGAACAATGACAAAAATTGAGTTGCTGCCTTTTCAAGGAAGCCTCAAATTTTGTACCGTGAAACCCCGCTATTTGTGAGTGACCGAGCGCTGCCGCAAATAGTGAAAAATCCGTTAGCAATTGGCACCATTCGAAAAACGTTGATATTTATGAATGCCACAAGATGGCATCCAAGGGCGACTTTTGTCCAAATAAAGCTTCTTAACCCATTTCAACGTAATTCATTAGTACCAAGATGCCACAAAATTGAGGTAAAGCAATACTTCTATTGCTTTGACCTCAGTGAAAATGTGAGCTTTTCAGCAAATAACAGAGGATTGTCTAAAAAAATAAATAAATAAAATAAATCTGCAAATAAACAAATTTACGAATGCCAAACCGCTAAGTGCGGGGAGTCACTGAATAACCTTTCATCGGCAACTGTATTATTCTAAATGGATGAGGAAAAAGCTCAATACTGCAATGGTCTTAAATACATTAATCAACAAAAATGTTCTCATTTCAAACAAAGACACCCCCCCCTCCCTCCAATGTGTCCCTGAACATAGGAAATGCGAATTTGCCATCATTGCTGCTCCACCAGCTGCTGCATGTCATCCGCTCTCACCTCATTGTGCTGACCTTCTTCATTCTCACCAGCGTGGACTCCCTGTAGGAAAATGTCTGTGGTTGTTGCCGTGGCGTCCACCACAGCAATGGTGCCGACCGGCTGTGCGATGCTTGTGTTTTGTGCGGCGGCCAGGCCCTGCAGCGTCACCAACTGGAAATGAGGACTAACCATTTTGACAAAGGTCGAAGAGACGACAGTGCCGCTCTCTGAAGACGTCCCCTCTTGACCCGCCACGGCGGAGAGCACCGTCAGGTTGGAAGCGTCGGCCGCCAGGTCCGAGCCGTTGAGCGGCGAGGTCAGCAGAGTGTAGCCCCCCAGGTTTGTGGTAGTTGGAGGTCCCGCCACGGTCAGGAGCTTGCCGAGTGGCACGGCGCTCAGCTGGCTGAGAGGCACCGCGACCTGTGTGGGCGCGGGACCGACAATGCGGCTCATCCGGGAGCGTTTGGGCGCCGGGGCTGCAGGCGTGAGGTTCATCAGGACGTTGTTGAGGTGTTGAGATTTGCTTTTCAGCTCCTTGGCTCGCTTCCTGTGCTCATCACACTGTTGCTCAAGAGCTGTAAATGGACACAAGAAAGAGCCAAACATTAGTTATGTCTCTTTTTGCAGGAATCAGCCTTCATATACACCACATTCCAAGTTATACTGGCCAACCAATTTTTAACGTTTTTTTTCTTAATCAGAGATGCAAGTAAACTTTTCCAAATATTTTTTTGTGTACAATAATAATAAAACATGAAATAATTAAGTCTTAGGTTCAGCAATAGATGGATTTTTCCCTCCTTAATGTCAGTTATGAATTACAATTCATGGTAAAATCCTTATTGCACAAGGTTTAATGCGTCAAAAAAAAGTTTCTCAAAAACCTGATTCTTTTAAACTGAGTCAAAAACATCTTCAGGGATACAAAGTCATCGAATTAAAAATTTCTCTTGAGGAGTGTTATGATGAAAATAGGCTGAAAAGTATATAATGTTGGTTGATATCGATATATATTATGTTTTTTCCTTTGAACGATTGAAAATAAGTCTGAACGATTGAAAATAAAGACCCGGAGGGGGAAAAAAAGGCAGAATTTTATTTGAACATATATTATGTAATCTTTAATAAGAAGTCAACACAACTATGAAAAAGTCAAATAATATGGTAAATATAAAGATAAAATAAACAACTTTTTTAACATGCTTAGTAGGGCTGTGCGTATGGCTGAAAAATTTCACAACATAACTATTTTTTATAACTCAATGTTGACAATTTTTTTTTTAAACCTATTTAAAATTAAGAAAAACAATGAGCCGTTTTTGTGTACATTTTAACGTACAGTACATGTACTGTACAGTTTCTCCTCCACCAGTTTATTGCATATGCTTATTTGCGTTAGATGCTACCCCAAAACAGTATTGTTATTACATTAATCTTCATTCAATGTTCATCCAACATCAGTGTAGTGACCGAATACTTTTTTCAAGTGCATGCGTTGGTGTTGACCAAGCGTTTTAGGACTACTTCATCTTCTTAGTGGAGTCCATATTGCCATTATTAGTCTCTTCATATTTAACTTGCAGGTAGGTTAGCACGTCCGCCTCACAGTGCAGAGGTGCAGGATCCGATTCTGGCTCTTCTCTAACAGTTGATAACTTGAAAATTATCAAATGTTTTTGCAACTATCTGAGAAATATATCATTTACACCAGTGTACTGTATATCCCCAATGAGCATTTACATGATCAGGAGTCCTGTCATATCGGTATCATTAATTTAAATGTTTTTCCCCAACATTAAAAAAAAAAAGTAATTTGTAATAATTATCTTTACTTTTATCTAATTCAACCATTGTTGGGTTGTTTTATTGTAAATCAAAAAAATATCAATGTACAGCCTGGCCCATCAGTCCCTTTCAAAAATTACATTAAGCTTTTGAGCACAAAAGTTTGCCGAGCCCTCATAAAAACAGTGTGTTTCAACATACACTGACCAACGAGGCTGCTGGTGTACTGCTCTCTGTAATGGTCCATCTGGCTCTTATGACTGCTCAAAACCTTCTTCACAAGATCCAGCATTCCAAAGTTGTGCACGATGCTGTCGAGCAAAGCAGCATCTGGCAAAACAAAACACTCCATGTCAAATGTGTCAGCTGGTTGTTGCGATACTGGATCAAATGGCCTCGCTCAAGCCTTGGCAAATCAGAAAACAACCTCTTCACTTAATGGGATTCTAACCTTTGACCTGCAGTGATGGCTCACACACTCTTTCATGTAACCCCTTTAGAACCTCTTGGAGCTCCTTCTGGAAGTCCTCAATCACCTCCTCCAGCAGCCCTGCGTCCTTCAGTGCACGCCAGAATGACAGCGCATCCTCTGCACACACAAATACATGCGAACAGAGTGGAATCCGGTGCTGTCACTCCCAACCGCCATTTCCTTTTCAAGCGAATGGGTGCAAAGATTCAGAAGCACCTCCAACGGCTGTGACTCCTTCTGAAGGTCCCTCTGATCCCTCTGGGTAGGAGTCTCCATTCACTAGAATGGAAACAATATAATGTTTCAACAAAACCCTCTATTTTTTTTTTTTTTTTTTGTGTGTGTGTGTTTTGTTTTTTTATAATTCAGATTAACCACACACAAGCGTGGTAGTTCATTTGACTTTGGCCGCCTCGCCAGATGTACCACAGGCTTTAAGAAACAAACAAAGCAACAGCATAAGAACAAGAAAAATAAAGCATGGGGTGCTATGGGTGTGTTGAGCAGCATTATTGAGGGGTATTGAATTAGTTGGTAAGAGAAAATGGAAGACTCGGGGGGGGGGGGGGGGGG